GATTTCACAGCCAAACAGAAAGGGCTCCATGTCCTAAAAACCTCAGGCATTAAAGCCACAGTCCAGAAGGGCCTAATTCTCCTCACACCTGTAATATTAGCAAGGAGTAAGCAATTAGATCCTGTGTCACTGAGCACTACAGGCAAGGCCTTTAATCCTTCTGTTATCCATTCATAATGAACATTTCCAGCCTTCTGGTTTTGCCTAAGAAATATAAAATAAATCTACGGTGCAGAATCGCTACTTCAGGAAATTGTGATTTAAATTTTATTCTATTTATAGGATCTCTATGGAAACAGAGACAGCATTAGATAGGTAATAACTATAAATCCACAGATTTCTACCACCCTTACCCTTGAATGCAGAGTTAGCCCTTTAGGAAGTTCAAGTGAAAAGAAACAACCAACTCCCTTCCTTGAGGGTAAAGAAAAGTGAAGCTGGTAGTAAAGGAGAGGATGTTTTCCCAGCTCCAGCTGGAGGTGGGCTCTGCAGGTAGGACTCCTGGCAGGGCAGGAAGGGATCTGCATGGGAAAAAGGGGAAGCAAAAGAAGGAATCCCAGCCCTGCTCTCCTTGAACCCCACCAGACCGAGGGCTTGTCAGGCTAAAGGCTTCTCTGCATTAAAGAGTGATTTGGAGTGGTCACCATGAACAAGCTGCTCCACAGTGGTTATCACAGAGAATTTGCTGATGTAAGAACTCTGTTTTCTTGTGTTACTCTGGGATTTTACTGCACTTCCAAAGCAGAGGCAGTTTTCTGGCACAAAGCCACTCGTGGCTCAGCACAGAGTGTCTGCACGGGCTATTTTGGAGCTGCCGTTGCTTAATAACTAATGCAATGGATACAGAGATTAATTTTCAGTGTAGACAGCTGCAAAACACTAAGATTAATGCAAAAATATCTTTATTTTCTTTGTCTTTTTCATTAATGCAGCCAGAGTCTCCTGCTCAGCGATGGGGACTTGTTCCTGTGGACTTCAAAAGAGCAGCTCCTGCCTCCCATCCTGGTAAGTGCATCAGGATCAGCCCAGGGCACAGGGTTTGGCTGAGCACGGTCACACTCCCTGCCTCCTCCTTGTGAGTTTATCCACTGATGGAAACTAATTGCTAGAATAAGAGTAGCCAGGAGGTGGTTGCATGAACCCCCCCCCCCCCCCCATGCCCATCCCATCGCCCTGCCTGCACAGACCTGGCCATTTTAACCCAAACCAACATATCTTGCAGAAAACCAGTGACTTGGGTGACTGTTTTGCCTGGGATGCTGCTCTTTGGCAGTGTCCCATGGGAGAGCTGCCCTTGCCTGGGCTGTGCTGGGCTCTCCAGGGCTGGTGTTCCCAGATGGTCACACAAACCTCCCAGTTTCTCACTAAATGTTTTTTTCAGCTCTGCTCTGACACCCAAACCTCTTCCTCAGCTTTCAGATGCACAAGGAGGAGATCTTGTTGCTGTGACCTTATAGCACAGGCACATGCTGAGGAGTCCTGCTCAATTATTATTATGACTATTCATTATTTATATCCGTGGCCTGCCCAGAAGTTCCAGCCAAGGCTCTGCAGCGATATAGAGACACTGCACAGACACAGTGGAGGACTGTCCCATCCCATGCCACCCATTCTGGTCCATCCCATCCTATCATGGGGCAGAGTTATCCCCACGAGGTGCCCCTTGGTAGTCCTCTCTTGCACCCTTGAGCCCCCATTCTGCTGCTCCTCCAGCTGCCACAAATGCCACAGAGAAAGTATAGATGTTCTAAAATGGAAAATAAAGCACTCCCCCACACATGCTTCTCCTCTCGGGGACAGGATGAGAGAACAAACATGTGACAAATGTTAGTCATGTTGTTTAATGCACTACTGAAATGCTGGAGCGACACTCAGCTCCTTAAACACCCTCTGGAATCACATCTGTGGGGCAGGCACCTGCTGCCCAGAGGTGGCTCCAGCCTGGGGGGGCTGCAGACCCCCAGGAGCTCCTGATCTAGGGGGTACTGACGGAGTGAGATCCCTGCTGCTGGTGCCAAGAGGAGCCAGATGTGCTCCCAGGGGAATGGCACAGTGAGTAGCAGCCCACCCACCGCTTCTCCCACGGCTGTCACCTCTGCATCTCCTGCATTGACTGTGGAGATGCTGAGTGCTGAAAGTGGGTGGGAAGTGAGGATGGGGACCCTAGGGGGCCGGGGCTGGGGCCGTAGGCAGCTGTGCACAGAGTGCTTGGCCTCAGCCAGGTGGTCCACACAGACAGGAGCCTGTATCTGCTGGAGGCATCGCGTGGCTCCCAGGAGAGCTCTTCCCCTCCACAGACCCCAGGGAAACTTGCTGTCCCTGCTGTACCCAGCCTGGAAAGATGCTCTCCACCTCTCCCTGGGGGTGGGGGAGTGTCCTGGGGTGCAGCTCCACAGTAGTGAGAGTGGGGACCCACTAGGGTTCCTGCCAGCAGCCCAAGAGCTTTTGATGATGCCCTGGAGAGATGATGGATGCAGCTCCCCCAGGGACCGTGCGGCTCCTGCTCGAGCTGCTTGACAACAGCTCCATCCTCCTGCCCACAGGGGAGCCAGCTCACCTTGGCAGTGTCCTTTCCAGACCAAAATATGCCTGGAAAATTGTTCGTGTGAGGGATTAAATATAAATGCACCTAAGGGTTTAGAATAGGCTACCTTTCTGGGGAGGAGGCAGCCTCCCCATCCTGCCAGCCTGCACGGGCACCCCCATGGGGGAGCCTCTGAACCACACTGGGGGTCTCCACCCCCAGACCCATCTCCTCATAGCAAGGAGCTTTTGAGAAAATTAAACTACCTGAGTGGGCTTGACCTGCTATGAGGAATGGGAGGTTAATGCTTCACCCTGTCCCCTTCAGCCACCCCCATCCCAACCCTTCTGCTCAGAGCAGGACCTGTGCCAGGGACTGCATGACTCGTGGTGGGACCTCCCATTGTGTTTCATCTCTCTTCTCCCCAGGAGAGTCTCCCCAGCTTCAGAAGATGTTTCCCAGCTTCAGAAAGCCCAGAAGAAGCTTTCTGTCCATGAACATGATGTTTGGATCAGACCCTGGAAAGAGGGAAGAGCTTAGGCAAGTGCCTCTGGACTCCTGCTCATCTTGGCTTTCAGGTTCAAAGGATGGAAAAGTAGGAGTAATGAGGACCAAGACTGGGAAACTGGAGATGGAAATGATGTAAGGCTTCAACTTTCAGCCCGTGGCCAGATCAGCCCTTTGAGGAAAATAGAGAGAGAGACAGACCCAGGGAAAATAATCAGCTCTGAGCTGCTGGGGGAAAGTGGGAGTGGGACTAAGTGGTGAACTCCTAAGTGGTGGGACAGCCTGGCAGCCACGAGAGGCTGGATGTCTCCTCCTGCAGTGTTTTGTATGGATCCAGTCACTCTGCTGCAGAGTGCAGAAATCCCTGCCACCCAATATATTTTTGAGCAGAACTATGTGTCACGCATCTGCTTTGCTCCTTGCCAGAACTTCTTATTTTTTTCCCCCCTAACGGAGCCCTCGCTCTTGACAAAGGAGCTGGAGCCAGGGCCAGGGAACAGAGACCTGCCCCAGGCCTGCTGGGGCTCAGGCGTGGAGCTGACACAAGGCAGGCTTGTGTTTCCAGGTTGCCAGCTCAAATCTGTCTTTGGCTGGCAGCAAACAAACAAACAAAAAAGCAACAAAAACAAACCCCAAAGTTTGCATCTGATGCTCGTTCACCAGCCACTGGGAGATGAACCTGTGGGTCTGGGGCACTGTGCCAGCTGAGGGGCCAAGGAGCAACTTGTTTGACCCCACCCTAGGGTGGCAAACACAGTGTAGCTCCAAAGAGAGCAGGAAAGCTTTAAGATGATATTAATGATGCCACTAATGAGAGGGCAGGAAAGCTTTAAGATGATATTAATGATGCCACTAATTGTAGCAACAGGAGGTGAGGTGGCTGGCTGGGTGGTGTCTGTGGCGGGGCCAGGCAGGGCGCCCAGCGCGGCCGCGGAAGCGCGGGCAGCACCCAGAGACAGTTCCTCATGTGTCCTGCAGGTTTGGGGATTGATTCCACGCTGGCAATTAATTGCTGAGCTACAAATGCCTTTAAAGGTGAGCACCACGAAGCAAACCTGCATTAGGGTATGGTACTCACGTCAATAAAATCAATGGGAATTTGGCCACTGCTGTTGCTGCCAGCTGGACCAGGCTGCAGCCCGGGCTGAGCTCCAGCTCAGAGCTGCATATGTTGACCAAGGGACACCAGGCCTGGTGGCCATCCCCGTGGAAAGATGCAGCTCCTTTTGCCCCATGCTTCCCCCCTTTCTGACTCACTGTGCAGGTGAAAAGAGCCCTGGGTGAAATGGAGAGGCTGGGGATGTGCTGGATGGGAAGCACCACCTCGGCCACACCAAGTCAAGTCTCCTCAAGGTAAGGGTGTCCCACCCCACCGAGCCTTGCATGGCCCTGAGCACCACATCCCCATGGGGATCCCCCTGGCACAGGGCTCTCCCATCCAGCTGTTTTTAGGTCAGTAACAACAGCTGTACATCCCATCAGCAAAGCCAAAACAGCTTCAGGAGCAGGAGCTGCTGCTGCTCAGACATCAAGGAAAAGGCACCACATGTCGCAGGAAGCAGCGTCCTGTGGCCACGTGGCTTCTGGTGCTGCAAGCAGCAGAGTTCTACAGGATTGGGGATTTTTATTTCCTGGCTGCCTTTCTGGAAGGGATGCATGCAGGTATGGCAGCAGCCTGGCAGTCCTGGCGGTGCTCCCCAGCTCCCGTGTGACCTTGGCCATGCTGGTAAGACCTTCTAGGCCAAGCAGCAGCCCGGAATGCTTCACAAGGGTCTCTGTCCAGACCTGAGTGATGAGGAACATTTTTTACTTTTGTCCAGGTCTTTTGAAACCAATGAGTGGAAGCAGCACCTCTGAACCCCCACGGTGTGACCACCACGTTGCCTTTGACAGCACTGCCATGAGCTCTGCCCGTGGCACAACGTGCTGCACAGCCTGGAAACATCAAAGTCACCAGCAGGGAACTCACCTCTGGAACACCAAGCCCCCCTCTGCACCCATGCCAGTGAGACCCTGTTGAACATCTGGGGCCCAGATCCACCCCACTTCCAAAGCCACAGGGAATATCTGCCCAATTTCAA